TGACAACATCTTTTCATGTGCTTGGTGCTTTGGCCATGAAACACTGCCTAAGGAGTCCTCTGCTATTTGTAATCTTCCTAGGCATTCCATATTCCCTACAACCAGTAACTCAACAAAGAGACAACTGATAACAATCACAATAAATCCTCAAGAAGTTAGACCTCACAAAAGCAACTTCCAGCCACATAGGCCAAAAAAAATAAACCATTTTTCAGTTATACCCATTTCAAAGTTCTTCATCCAAAGCACTCCTCTTCCCACCCCAAAGGCAGATGGAATTGTTAATTCAGAGGAGAGACAAAAAGCTGTTAGCAAATCTTTGTTTGTTTAAGATGTGTTTATTTCTAGTTGCCAAATATTAACAAAAACATCCTATTACAGGCTTCCTCTGTTAGATTTCACAATGTGAAGAGGTGACCTTAAAACATTTGTGCATTGTAATAATTATTTGTTTTCAACTAGAAGTATCTAGATATCAACAAAGGCTGGGCCTGGAAAAGGCCAGCTCTGCACACAACCATGGCACCCTCAACATGATCACGCTGTGCTCCCCAGGGCTCTGTCACCTCTGTTTCGTGATGCCGAGAGAAGGAAAGTTGCGTTCCTCCACACACATCATTCAACCCCTGCCTTTCATAAAAACTCTTCTGAACTTCAGGAGGATGTCAGGCTAGGACCAGTTTTCTGTCACTTCTTAAGGAACCACTATTCCTGTACCTAAAGATATGTTGCCTTCTGTGAACAGAAATCAAAGATGGTCAAACATGCCAGGTCAGCTGTCCTGAGAAAGGGGCAGCTCTGATGGGTATGAAGATTGTCTTTTTAAACAAAATAAATAAAATATCATTTGGAAATTAAGGAATAAACCAAAACCTTAGTGGATACATGAACCACTTTTAACCGCTTAATATCCAGAGAAATGGGGGAGCAGGATAGTGTATACAGTGTTAAAAATAGCTTCCACAACCCAGTTCTACTCACAGCGCCCGCAAGCATCTTTGTGCCAGCCCTCTGACAAGTTCTGCTGTGCTGGAAGAGACACAATTAAGCAAGAGTACGGCAGAGGTCTCAAGAATAACACAGGGGACAAGAACTGGAAACACTTATTTGCTCTTTCACACAATGCAAGATCTCAGCCCAAGAAAATCATCTGACAGTAGGATTAAAAGAAACAAAAGGACCCGCATCTTCACGCAACATATGAATAAACAGAGTACAATTAATGCATAATTAAACAGCAAAACTCATTGCTGCAGGATGATGTTGAAACCAAAGCATGAGCAGATTCAGAAAAAGATGTACAAATTTCTGCTAGACGGATGTGGTAAAAACAGGGGGTGCTGGACACAGTAGTCATAAGGCAGCTACCGGCTCTCAATCCTTGAAGAGACAATTGCTGGGAAGCAGAGAAAGCTGTCTTGAACCATGCTCTCCTTGTTACACCTGCAAGCACTAGTTACTAGCCTGTGGTACAAAGACGATCTGGGTTAGACCTTTGGTCTGCCTATTTTGGTACCCTCAGCATCCTTCTAATGTTTTTCTTGCACAAGCTGATTCTAAGAAAATTTAGCTTCACCCCATTCTTCCACCTCCTCCCTCCATCAAACCACTCTCCCCTCTGTGACGTGCTCCTGACCCAGTGGTGCTGACACTGCTGATTGCTGGATTTCCCATTCCCAGGCTCCCAGCCACTTTGCAATTGTAAGCACCTTGTCTTCAGCCTAACACCATGCTGGCTGCATCCCTGCAGGATGAGGCTCTACCACAGGACCAACCATGCTGCTAACCGAAGCAGGACCTGGAACAATAAACCACAGAGGCTCCTGAAAAAGCAAAGGGAGTATGAATGAGAGCTGATCCTTCTGTTAGAATAAGAACTAATGAATTTATCCAGGCTTCCTGAGGATGCTGTTGGGGCAGCAGCTTGGTTGTAGCTTGTTAGCTGCAGCAGCTTTCCTTTCACATAAATCTTGACCCACAGCCTCCTACCTTCTGCATATATTACTCCACTGGTGTCCTTCTCTCCTGACATGAAGCACTCTGCTATTTCCATCCTGAGCATCCAGCTCCAGTGATGTAGCTCAGGTTCTGCACCTCAGTCCCAACCCACAGGGCCTCTGTGGATCGACATGACAGGTACATAAAGAGAACTGGCAGATGGGATACTGTCTCTCTACTGAGATGGTTTAGGGGGATATCTGAAATGCTGCAGCATTCAGAGAAAGCCTCCTCTGCTTTCTGCTGCCCTCCCACAACGCTGAGCTAATCGAAGAGAAGAACATGATAACTCTCTGCCCCAAGTCAGCTCTACACTGACAGTTCACTAGAGATGCAAGATCGCTCAGTGACATTAAAAATGTCAGCAAACACCGATCAGGCTTGACGGAAGGGATGCATTAGCAGGCTGGGGGGGGGGGCACAGGGCAAGGTAAAACTTCAGCAAACACAGTCAAGTGCACAGGCAACTTTTCCCCTTCTGTCCTCCACAGATCTTTTTCACAAATCTCAAGACACTGGGGCCACCATCACAACAGTCAGATGTGGAGCTCACCACCACCTGCACAGCCAGATCAACCTGAAAAGGTTTGCCTGGGGAAACACAAGCATGGTAGCTAGTAGGGACAAATTTCTGTCTTCAGCTTGCCTGGGAGACATGTCTTGGAAGCTGTGAAAGAGGCCTGGAGCCACAGGGTTCTCACCTCAACTGCTCCTGCAGCAAACAAGTGACAAGGGAAGAGTTTATAGGAGAATAAACCCTGAGAAAGACCATTTCACCACTACGGGAAGAAGAACCACTGAGCTCTGGAGCATCCTGTCCTCTGGCACAGTGAGCACAGACAAGGACTGTTTCTTCAAATGATACAAAACGGAGACAAAGAGGAGCTGAAGCCATGTGTGCACGGGCAGGGAGAATCTGGAGCATGTTTTGTTGCTGTCCCACTACCCACAGGTACACAAACACGTCTGCCCCATGCACGCACCTTTCCATATGCAATCCCACTTGTATTTGCAACAACAGCTCCCTGACTCAAAAGGGTTCTCTTGTTCTGCTCACAAGCAGAGACCCAAAGGAGGGACAGTAGATGCAGGTGGGGCCATCCTGCAGGAAAATGCTCTCAGTCACAAACACCTGTTTTCTCAATGTCTGAAACATCCAAGTCTTTTAATTATCCATAACCTAGAAATTAGCAGTTTCACACCACCCCCCCCCCCCCATCACCTTCACTTCATGGATCAGGTCAGTGGCAGACTTGGCCTAGGAAGTATTTCTAAGTTAGGAACGTGCCAGAGGTAGGGGAAAAGGGGCCACCTGATCTATGCAGGGAAGAACAGGGGAGCTAGATACCTGTCCACTCTTATTTGTCTCACACTAGGAGCTCACTCAAAAGCGACTGAGGCTTATTGGGTGCAGGTGCTTGGACAGAATTACTTATTTAGGCTGGAAATCCTCTCTTGTGACCCCTTCAGAGAACTGGGCAGGGGAGCACTTGACTGCAACAGCTTCCCTCCTCCTCCTGCCTTTAGCTCTGTGCTTAGTACTTCATGGATGCTCAACTTAGTATCACAGTATTTGCTGAAGTACAATACATAAAATATCCATCTTGAAGAGCAGCCACTTGCCTGGATGTCCACATTATGATGAATCCCAGCTCCTAACACGCTAAATCAAGGAGCCTTGAACTACAGGAAAGAGCTGTGAGTCATTCATCCTGAGGCCCTGAGGAGGAACATGGCTGGATCAACCTACTTCTTAGCAAACACCACAGCACATTGGGATTTTTGTTATTTGTTTCTTTTTAAGTACTATTATTCTGCAGCCATCAACCTGCTGGTTATATAGCTGCTATCCATTCACCGGAAGTTTAGTGAACTTCAAATGGCGATCATTAATGGTCACTGAACTGCAGAATGCCCCAATGTGCTTTCAGATTTCATTTACCAAGGACCAGCAATCAGCCAAAAGATTTGCTCTGACAGCAGGGAAATACAAGACCCTTTGACAAGTTCAGCTGGGAATGTGCTGCCAGCATCCCTTGTTAAGTTCATGCTCTACCCTATTTGATGGAACAGATCATGCAAATTGTCCTCCTGCCTGTCACTTGTGCTTCCATTTAAAACAATAAATAAATAAAAGAACAAAAGAAAAGCCAACAATGAGTTGTTTACAAGCAAATTCCACTTACCAACACCCCTAATTATCAGGAAAAGATGCAGAAACCCAAATAAAACATTGAATTGGATGGGGGGAGGGAATCTTAACCAGGAAGGCCACCCCAGCTTCTCTCATGCATAGATCCCAGCCTTTCCCCTCACCCTGCTGCTGCTTGTAATCACACTTGTTCTTTTCTTCCCACTTTGTGACTTTAGGCATCACCATGTTTTTACGTGCAGACAGAACAACACTGCCAGGAGACCCTGTGGATGCACAGCAAGCTGCTCTGTAGCCATCCAGAGAAGGCATGGAGACACACAAGGCACCAGACAGTAAAGTCCGAGGCATTTTGCTTTGCAAAGTGATCGCAAGTCTCTTAGGTGGACGTGCTGCTGAGACATCTTCCCTTCCCTGCACCACGAAGGGAAATGCTGGTTTTTACAGTGGAACATATCCACATTTATCAACTAGAATTTGATCTGAAGGGAACCATGCTCCTAGGAGCTTTATACGGCTGCAAAACAAAACAGAGTGAGCAACACCGAGCCAGTACAACCTTCAGTTGCAGAGGGGCCTCACAGGGTCCCACTATTACGCAGAGACACCGCACTGTGCCTGCCACAATGGGCTTCTCCCCAGCTGCAGAACACATCCCATCAAGTACAGTAAGACTCTATTAGAGGAGATACAATAGGGAGCTGGAGGACTCGCTCAGCCCAGCTTCTGAGAAAATAACTCATTTCAATGCAAAACAGCAGTAGTTATTAGACACCTCCTTAAAGAGGAAACGAGAAGGGAAAAGGGAGGGGGAGGTTGAAGGAGACCATGGCAGTTTGTGTAAAAGTACCTTTTTCAGATTAATCCACTGTTTGAAGTAATCAGCAACTGGCAGCCCTAAGTACTGGCATTGTCCTGGTAACCTGTAAGAGAGAAGAGAGAGCAGGTTTGATTCAATCAGTGTCCTGACAACACAAACTCTGTTTTCTTAAGTGCATTTTGTTCCGAGATGGAAGAGACCCTCAAGTCTGCTGTAACACGCTGCAAATCAGAAGGACCATAGCTCTTGGCAAAAAAAGAGTATCTCATGAGAGCACAGCGTGGCTGAAGACTTACATTACATCCAGCCACATCCAGGCTGCTGACACCTTTCACACTGATCATTTTGAACAGGAGCTGTGTGCAAGCACAGCATGCAGCTCCGCTCCACAGTGGCTAACACGCAAACATGACTGGAGCATCCTGGCTGTCCTTTGCTAAGTGAGCACATTACAGATCCCTGCAAAACCATCCTGCTCAGCCAGTGGCTCACGGGGCAGGTGGAAGGACTGACAATTCACCTGCCATGCCCTGGTGCTTTTCCATTTGAACTTTACGGTTAAAACACTGAATGAGACATAGGGAGGGAAAGAGGCACGAATACGTTCCGTTTTTAGCTAGTAACGCTGCAGGACCAATGTTTTAGGGCTAAGAAAGCAGAGGCTGTCTTCCGAGCATGTGCTTGGAAGAAGACAGTCACAACTCTGAAGATACAAGATGCTGCACACTGTCATACTATGGGTTGAAGCACCAGCAGCCAGAGCTATGAGCACATATAGAATCATAGAATGGTTAGGGTTGGAAAGAACCTTAAGATCATCTTAACATCTCCCTTCCTACAGCAAGCTGCAGAACAGGGCTCACAAAACAAAATGGCACTTGTAAGGGAATTTCCCGAAGGGACAGGAGGACCCCAGGATTTGGAAAGCTGTTTCTCCCCCACTCGGCTGAGTGTTTTGGCAGGGGAGCTACAATGTGCCCCTCAGATGGGGAAGCCTGAGTCACGAAGCCAAGCAGCTTCAGCCAAGCCTGTGCAGGAAGATGAGTTATGGGAGTTTTCCCCGGCCGGTTTGATCTGATCAAGAGTAATTGATGGATCTTGTTCATTCATGTACTGCTGAGCACGCCTGGGGCACTGGTCACAGGATCTTTAACTGAAGCAAAGGAACATCCCAAATAAATATGTCAACTAAATAAATGACTAAATTAGAGCCATTTGTGCATGTTAAAAGCCACAGCCCCAGAAATCGGCTTTTGCAAACAGATGGGGGTGGGGAATCTTACAACTTCCTCGGGCACTTGGGAGGTTGTAGAAGAGAAGGGAAGAGCTGCAAGTGTCGGCATCAGCTGCTCAAACATCCCAACGCAGACCATATCCAAGGCAAAGTCTTCTCCCACTCCTCCAGAAAGGAAAGAGTGAATAGGCTAGGCTGGACTTCAGACTCAAGGCTGAAATTCAGGAACAAGCTCTGGTGACATGTGGATACAAGCTAGGTACACCACCTTGAGCTGTACCCAAATGTTCAGCCTAGCTCTAAACCCTTCGGTGAATAGGGCAGCATATCTTCAGACCTACAGTTTCCCAAGCACAGAGATGAAGGAGGGACACAGACAATGCACTTGCAGATAATGTGAGATTCAGGGTAAAACAGTACCAGAGTGATTTGGTGTCAGTGCTGTATCAATTTCTATGGGAAGAAAAGGAAGGAAGCTTGCAAACATATCCAGGAGAATCCCCAGGGAATATTTGGCTAGTGGAGCCAGCACACACTGCGACCCACCAGTGTACTGGCTTTTTGAGTCCTGCTTAGGCTAAGGCAGAAATAGACTCCCTGTGCCAAACCCGAATGCCTGGTCATTATTTAGGAGCAATAATTTAAGTCATACAAACACATTTGAATATGAAGGTCCAGAGGAATTTCTTTGAAAGCAAGAAGCCTGTCAACAAGCTTGCAAGCAGCAGCACTATGGCGATTTGCAGGGTAAGCAATGTGACTTGACAGCACAGTCTCATCTCTGGCCATGGCTCATCTGATGCTAGCACCATCATGCTGAAATAAACCACCTGGAGTCACTCCCCACAATTGCATAGCTGTCACATAAATAGCAGCCTGGTACATGCATTTTACTGCCATTACACATATATCCATGACATCCGCAGTTGAACAGACCCTACCAGCCCCAACCAGCATGCTGAGAAAGCTCTTTCTCCAGGAAAGCTGCTTTCTACTGGTGCCCAGATCAAGAAAGATCACCAGAAAAGGAACCATCTAAACCAAATGACCCATCTAAACACACATGTGATCAGTTCAACCTCTCTTAGGCTGCTCACATTTAGAGAGGATGATAAGAAGAGTCAGCAAAAGGTATGTTACTAAAAGCAGAGTTTCTTCTCCCAATCCAAGAGGTTTTCATTAATACATGTCCCATTTATAATATTCCCTGTTAGAGGAATAATTATCAATTTACCTAACACTGGAATAGGGCCCAGAAGAAGCAAGTACAGCATTGCTCTTGTTAGCCACAGGAATTGACAGCTAACCACCCAGTGCAATGAATGACATCTAAAGCATCTCCCCCCTGTGGGACCAAAAGGCCCAGCAAACTGGACAGTCTGGTTCTATTTCCACCCTGAGACTGATGGCAGTATGCCCTGGGCGCTGGACAGTGGGTCTTTAATTGGAGAAAATAAATGCTCCAAATAAATATGTCAACTAAATAAATGACGTGTTTTTGCAAACAAGTAACAACCCCAGAAACTGCCTGTGAAGCAGTGTGACCTAAGGACATTCTCCCTCCCCCTCTGTACTTGTGTCCCCTCATTTCACACTAGCATCACAGAGACTTCACCAAGTTTTCCAAGCATTACAAGACTTACACTCATGCCATAACCTGGACTGGCTGTCAGGAGCATGGACCAAAGCATCAGTCTACCCCCCAAGGTGGAAGATGCAGCAGGGATACAGTTGCTCAACGCACTTGGCTTTCGCAAAGGATTGCTGCATGGATCTGGTCTAGTCTGGGTACACAGCGTTGCCAGCACAGAGAACCAGGGCTCTCACTGCACAGAAACCAGGTCCCCAGGTAGCTATGGGGAGGAAAAGACCCCTGAAATGCCTTTTCCTCAGCTCCAAGCTCACCACCTGCAGTGGGCCCTCCCACTCCTAGCCTGGCAATGAGGCAGGAGTTTCTGCAGTTATCTTCTCCAGGCTGGAGTGCACAAGGTACATGTGTGGCTCTCCTGGGGAATAGAAGTGCCAAGACCTGTAAGGAAGTACCTCCATTTATCAGGGCCACCATTCATTTGAGCAGCTTATTTGCTAAACATGCTTTTATGCTCAGTACAACTTCTTGCTCTTGCAGAAGTCAATCTTGCTCACTGGGGGCAGCTTTGCTTAAGCAAGAGTTTGGCATTTGGCCCTCTCACAGGTAGTGGAGAAATGACAGCACATTTCACTGCATTCAACTTCCCATGATCCTTCCAGCTGCTGAGCAAGATCTCGCTCCCTCCCCAAACACTGCAGCTCTCACTCCCTGGGAAGGAAGCTGGCTCTCAAAACCACTCCATCAGGCAAACACCATGGCTTCAGGTGCGACTGCACTTGACAGAAACTTGAAAACGGCTGTGGGATTTTCCAGCCTCCAATTCAGCTCTGGTAAAGCTGTCATTACAGCAGCAGAGATGGGAAAGCACAACCTTCACCTGCTCCCCAAACATGGGTCTCCTTTGGAAAGGAAAGCAAGCGACATGAGGCAGCACGCTCTCCTCCACCAGCCAAACTCTTCAAGTCCTCCTTGGGCTGTGGTCAGCATTGTCAGCTCTGTGCCATTTTCAGAGAGCTTTCATCACCCCAGACTCTGATTTCTATCCATCCCTGCTCCTCCACTCTGCAGGGTAAATGGGGCCTGGAGATGAACGGGATGCAAATAGGAGGCGAGGTGACACGGCTGCATTTCTCCCGTTGAAGCCAGCTCTCTCCAAGGCGGCAAGAAGCGCACAGCTCGGCGGTGATAAACGGCCTTGCTTTAGTTATCACTTTCCTTAAGTTAAGGAGAGCAGCCTAGTGATGGATGGGCTGGAATTCGGTTATAAGGAAAGGCTGTCAGCCAGAGTTGCCTATCTCCACACACATTTAGCAGGGCGTCATTATGCGACGGCATGGAGTTAAAATATGACCAAGGGTATTGAAAGAAAAAGAACAGGATTAAAAAAAAGCAAATTGAGCAACAATAAAGGAGCATGAGGCAAGAATGTTATCAGACTAGTGACACCTTTTATCTCAGTCTGGTTAGCTAGAGCAGGGCACAAATTGGTCCTTCCTCCACTATTGTATCCTCTTGTACAAACAGAGGCAGATAAAATGTGTCACCAGTGCGATAGCGTATCAATTTAACCCTAATTATCCAGGGGGTCAAACTAAGAAATAGGGGTTTCTCATTTCAACAGGTTCCTCTGTCTCAGCTCAGAGCAACCACATTAATATGGAAGGGGGAGGGGCAGCATAATTGATTTCCATCACTCAGGTGGTCCTGGCATATAAAAAATTAATGCTTGGCTCTCCCAACTAATCAGAGCTGGTTAACGTCCATCTGCTACTGGGTTCAGGATGTCAGGAGACACAGAAATTGGGCCACTTCCTACACACTGGGTGTATTGATACAGAGCCTGTCAAAAGAACAAACCCCTCTATGGGAAAGATAAAGGGACATTAAATCTTGGGTTTTATAGACCTGATCTCAGCCTTCAAAAAAAAAAATCTATGCCCTGAAGACCTTGTGTTGTAAGAGATGCAGAACATTTTTGTTGTGTCCTGGCCATCCCCACTGCACTGGGCTGCAAAGGAGAGGGCAAGCAGGCTCCTGCCCTGGAAATCCTTCACTGAAGAAGGGCTGGAAAGCCTGAAGAAAGCTGCCAGGATGCTGCAGCACACAAGGCGATAGCCAAAGAGAGGAGCTGTCAAGCCACCCGCACCCTAGTTCAAAGCAAGGCTGGTCAAGGCATCACTCTGGACCATGTGGCGCAGAGCTGATGCTCAGTTTTGATGTAGAGTGGGATGTCTGCCAGGCCAAGAGGAACGCCTGGGTGCCCTCTCCCAAAAGAGAA